TTTGCATGCGAGGGGGGTCATGAGTTCCTACTTTGTAAATCCTCTCTTTTCCAAGTACAAAGGCGGTGAATCGCTGGAGCCAACTTACTACGACTGCAGATTTCCACAAAGTGTTAGCAGGAGCCATGCTCTGGTCTATGGTCCGGGCACCACTGCTCCCACCTTCCAGCACCCTTCACACCACGTCCAAGAGTTTTTCCACCACGGAACCTCCAGCATCTCCAACTCTGGATACCAGCAAAACCCATGCGCCTTGGCGTGTCACGGAGACGCTTCTAAATTCTATGGATATGAAGCTCTACCGAGGCAATCGCTTTATGGTGCTCAGCAAGAGACGACTGTTGTACAATATCCTGACTGTAAATCGTCTTCCAACAGTAACTCTAGCGAGGGACAAGGGCATTTAAATCAAAATTCGTCTCCCAGTCTCATGTTCCCATGGATGAGACCTCACGGTTAGGACCTTTTTTTCCTCCTCCTTAAATGTTTTCCTTTATTTTTTCTCTCTTTCTCTCTTTCTCTCTCTCTCTCTCTCTCTGCCTGTCTGCTCTGTCTGTCTGTCTGTCTATATGTATATGTATGCATAGCCCAGCACAGACATGCCTTAGCTGTATAAACATGCCCAGACACACTTATGCATACATATATATATATACACGCCTGGAAAAAAAAAAAAATATAAATATAAGAGGCGTAGCTGGGGAATATGAAAAGGAATGAGCAGTTTTGTGCTAATGTTTCTTCTTTTTAGGAAGACCTTTGAAAGCAAAACAAGCCAGCAGTTACTAGAGAGCCAGCAAGGTGATTCCCTGCAAAAGGCTTAAATCACAATAAAGTAAAACTTGTTTTTTTATTGCTTGCCTTGAGGATAGGCAATAAGATACAGCTCCCACGAGGTTGTTTGCATGTTGATAATACACCGCTCTTTAAAATGTCATAGAGCCTTTCATAACCGCTTGGAGACGAAGCCTGAAAGGTGGGAACTTGTCTAAGTATTACTAATACTTTACATCTGTTTCTTAAAGCCTAGAGATAAAAGTTTAAGCATAAAGGAAACTTAGCTCGGAGCTATGGGGTGGGGTGGAGGAGGACAGGCTGCTGTTCTGGGTTTAAAGGAAAGGGGGAAAAAAAAAAGAAAAAGAAAAAAAGGGGGGTGGGAAATTCAAAATAATTCGTGCTGAATGGAACTTTGCTCATGTGAAGTCCAGATAATTGCACAGAAACCGAAATACTTCAAAGTACAAGTTTCCCCCCCCTCCCCATCTAAGGACCAAGGTTGTCTCGAAGCCTTGTTAATTCAAAACATGTGAAGGTTAGTGTGAATTTTAAGGACAATCAGA